ACCCCCATCTTGCTGAGGTCTTTGTTGAATAGGGATTGACAGAATTTTTCATGTAGAAGTTAACTTACCCATTTGATATTTTTCTTCAAGGTTGGTCAGTTTTAATAGTTTCCTATTAAGTAGGAAGATAATTTGTCTTTTTTTGTCAGTAGCCTTCTAAAGTAAAAACAAACAGGACCATAGTCAGGGGCCAAGGTTTCTCTGTCCTTCATACTTGTTTCCTTCCTACAGTGTCTTTTTTTTTTTTTTAATCCCCTCAAATTGATGTTCAGAGTCAGATAGCCAGTTTCAAATGCCTACTCTGAGAGCCAGCGGCATATTTGATGGAGGCCAGGGCAAAATAAAAAATGTTCAAAAAGGAGAGGAAGGTGTTGCTAAAGGTACTAAAATAGAAATTTCTTCTCTCTCAGAATATTTTATTATTTGTAAAAACAGAATAAAGGAATTATCAGGACAAGTAACAGTAAATTTACAAAGTGCAAAAAAATAGGTTTTTTTTGGGGGGGGGTCATTTAGTTTCTGTATGCTTGTTTTTTATGTGTGCTCAAGCATTTTCAGAACTAGAGAGCATGAACTCTTCAATCACTTCCAATGATGTTTGTCTGTGGTCTGCCTCCAAGCCCATCTAGTAACTCACCGACAGTTTGGCCGCCAGTGCTGGCTCGTACAATCCCAGGACTCCAGCGTGTGGGAGAATTGACATTCGTACAGCCATGTTAGGAGAAGCCTTGGGACAGGGGAACCAAGGGGACCTCCTGACGCAGGACCTTCTGTTCTTCATAAAACTGCCATCTATCTACTGCTCTTTTGTCTCCTGTTGCTTCTGTTGCCATTGCTAGTCTAGGCCCAGGTCCAAGCCAGCTATTCCAGGAGTCCCTGGTGCTCTGCGGTCAGAGACTGCTGCGACTCCTGCTTTGGCTGTGACTTGGTCAGAGTTTTTTTTGTGTATTGGCTGCTGCGGGACCAAAACTCCTTGAACTGATTGCTTTTCTCTCCTGCTCATGCGTCACTGCTCCACTGGACTTGACTAGAAAGGTAAGTTCAAGGACAAAATACCGGAGCACAAGCTCAGTAGGAAGGCTGCTCGTACGCCCTTGAGGCCGCACCTCTGGGTTAATCCTTTCTGATTGAGTGCTCCAGCCTTTGAGTGAGCCAGGACATTAGAGCTTGCCAATCTTTGTTTCGCCAACCTTTGTGATACTGGACCAATCCTGCCTACTCTCCCCTCTAGGCCTGCCCCAACAAGATTGATTGTGCTACTCCTTGGACACCTCAGACCTTCATTCTTCTTGCCTCTCTGTACCATATCTTATCATTCTTTGTGTTTTGAGGGCACTGTCCCTTCTGTCAGCCCTATCAACTGACTTCCCTCCCTAGTCTGCTTCCTTGTTTCTGGTTTATTTCACACCTTTCTGCCCCTCATTTGTGGTGGTTGGAGTCACTTCGTAAACAGACAGCCTGCACACATGCCTTTATCTCTAGATCTGCTTTCAGAACATCCTTTGAAACACCGCTTCTGGAGGATTTTTGAATGAGACAAATTTTACTAAGACTTAATCTCCTGGATGGCTAACAATCTCTGTGGCTCCGTCTTCAGATTCCAGTTGTAATGGTTAATCCAAATTGCTAGTTTGAATGCCTGTAGAATCAGTATGGAAACATACCCACCCCCCCCCCCCCCCCTTTAATTCCTATCTGAGGCCTGAGTCAGCAAGGAATATCATTTTGTTTGTTTGTTTGTTTGTTTCTGTCTTTTAGATCCTAGCCAGAGTCAGAAGGTTTGCTGTGTTAAGTAGGATGTTAGGAATAGCCACAAGGGACACTGAAGGATGGAAAGCACCATGCTGTGACCTGAACAGTGTTCTCTGTAGAAATGAGGACAAATGGCATAGTCTGGATAACCATGTCCTGGGACCCCACCCGGACCTTGCAGAGCAGTGGTTAAAGGCAGAACTGTAGGTGAGACAGAGAGACAAGGCCAGGTAGAGCAGGCCCTTCTAGGGTACCAGCATGGACAGACTGATGGCGCGCAAGAACAGGCTCTCCTCCGTGGTGCAGCTGCTACAGCTTTGCCTGTGCAAACCGCTCCACCCGGGCTCTACGGACTCAACAGCTTTCTACCTCTATCTAAGGAGTCCAGGAGAATCTCTAACCTTCTTCTCTGATGCGATGTTTACAGTTTATTCCTCACATTGGGGTGACACTCTGATTTTGTTTTAAAAAAGAATTTAGTTGGTGTACAAAATGGTTACATCAGTGGTTCTCAACATGTCGGTCACAACTCCTTTGAGCTCCAATGACCCTTTCACAGGGGTCACCTATCAGATACCCTGCATATCAGATAATTGCATTATGATTTATAGTAGTAGTGAAATTACAGTTGTGAAGTAGCAATGAAATAATTTTATGGTTGGGGGAGGTCACTACAACATGAGGAGCTTTATTAAAGGGTCACAGGGTTAGGAAGGCTGAGAACATCATCATAACATTTTAACATATATGTGCATGTATATGTATATAATTGTACTTTGCTCATATCTGTCTTGATTTCTTAATAACAAATATTTTGGGAACATTTTGTTTATGTTTAATGAGAATCACAAATTGCATCTACTATTATTTTTATTTTAAAGAGATCTTTTGTTTACTAGTGACAATGATTGTTTTGTATCAATCATTGTCTATGTTCTTTGGAGAGTAGCTTTTTATGTCATATATATAATTATTATTCTTGTTTGAAATGCATAGTCTCCACCATTAGAATTTACATTTTTATTTTTTCTATTGTTTTAAAATCAAACATCATTTATTAGCCAAGTATATAAGAGAATACTAAAATGAACTGTTTGAAGTGTCTTGCTAAGAAGTATGACATGAATATAATATGAAATTTTATACGGAATCAATTATTCTCTGTCATAATTGGGTCAAGATGGCATAAAATTAGTTTTCTGTGTCTTCAGTCAATAGTGCTTTTGTTCAAAGTTTTAAAGGTCATTTGAAATATTCACTGAACCATTCAAAGGAGGCACCCTTCCAGAATTCTAAATGAGAGCTGACAGTGGGCATAGATGACTATTTATTCACGTTCCAGAAGGCAAGATTTAACCTGTCACCCACTCTTTTTTTAAAAAACTGCCCACCATTCCCTAACTTTCTATCACTCTTTTTATTCTTCTAGTTCTTTCTCCTTTTTTCCACCCTGTTCTCTTCCCCCAGACCACCCACTTTTCAAAGTCTATGGTATTACACGTGGGAGTAGGCTGGGGTCTAGATTACAGGCTGGACAAACAGTTCTAGTTCCCCTCATTCTCCAGGGAATTAGGCTAAATGCTAAAGTCACATTTCCCAGTGACCACAAAACTCCCCACTGGAACAAAATGTTCTCACTTGGCCGGTTTAATCACCCATGAAATCTGCAGTGTGAATTGCTAGGAGGGGTGGAGAGTAATTCAAGTTCTGGGACAGCTGGACATCTCTTTTGATCTTCAGCTTGCTACTGTCGGCTCCAGGAGGGCAGAGGTCGAGGCTGTAAGAACGCAATGTCAGGATCCCAGCTCAGCTCAGGCCACTGTATCTACAGCAGTCCCCACTTTCCTTCACAGGTCCAGACAGGCACTTTACTGAAACACCATCCCTCCATGACAGACAGTCCTAGAACCAGGACCTCTCATCTGGGAAATGAGTTTACACAGAAGTCACACTTCTTCTCTCCCACCTTCCCTGCCTTCCCTCTGGGAATCCCAGAGCCAGACTCCTGGCTCTAGCTGTGAAACCTCCCTCATCCTCAGAGGGAGGAGATAATGTAGAAGAGGCTTGTTCCTCTGCATATGGGCTCTGGCTGGCTTCTCCAGGGACCCTGCATGCTGTCTCCGGTGCTCATCACACCTTTCCTTCTCTGTCTGTCTGTCCATGACACTAATAAATCTTCTGATAAATTTCTCACTCTCTAGGAATCTGTCTCAGTGTTCTCCTGAACACCTCCTTCCCCAAATAACAAAGATCTTTGTTGTTTGTTACCCTAGCTGTAAAGAAATGCTAGGCAGCGCTCGAGGGAGACTTTTCAATATACAGAGAACAAGCTTCATAGAACAGTGTGCTGATTTTAAGTAAAAAATACCTATTTTTATAGACAGACCTGAAAGGAACAGTGTAACTTAGAGCTCGACTTTGAGAACTTTTTGTTGGCAAACATCTCTTAAAAACAATTCAGTACCAACTTTAAGCAAAGCCAAATAGTCTTTTCTGGTAAATCGCTTGTGTTTAGATAGCCAGGGTAGTATTGTTAGGGTTGCCATAAAGCTCATTGAAGAAAAATTCCTGGTCAAGAGAACGGATTCCTTGGTCTGGGTGCAGACCCAGCATTCCACATTCCAGTGAGGTTAGGTCAATAGCTGGGCCCAGGAACCACCCCTAGGCAGACAGGCTCACCTTAAGCGAGGCAAAAGAGATAGGCAGAATATTTTTTTCTGTAATGCCTGCCCAAGGCCTGAGTCAGCAAGGCACAGCTTTTTTCTTTTTTCTGTCTCTGTCTTTCAGGTCCTAGCCAGAACCTAAGCATGCCTTCTCTCATGCTTTGAGCACCCTTAATTGCTTCTCCGTAGCTTCCCTCCTTGCTACATAGACGTCCATACCAGCTTACACAGCAAGTCTTTTCCCTTTTGCTCCTCCGTTCTCTTCCTCTGGGCCAGTTGCTGAGATTTGCAGCTTGTCAGCCCTGGGAGCTTTTGTTTTAAACTCTAATAAAACTTGTCCTTGAGCTTCTGTCTAATTCTTAAATTGTTTTACAAATGAGACTAAGAACCAGAAGCGGTGGCCCCAATTTCCCTTGTATCGTTAGGTGATAAAGGGCACCCGCTCAAATTCCAGGAAAAGTATCGTTGCTTCCTGTAAAAGATCAAATTCCCTTAGTGAGCTGATAAGGTTGGAGCTTGCCTTGAAATCAAATATTAGCCCAAAGCAGCAGGCAAACACACAGCTTTAGCTTTGCCAGATGGCTAGTTGTGGTTCTTCCCTTGCGGCTCCTGGTTACCAAGATGGTACGCCGGCTCCTCTCTTTCTCTAGCAGAATGTGCGTGGTAGAAGCTCAACCAACTAGAGCGTCACAGTTACTGAGTGAAGATGGGCTCTTGAGCCAAGCAGAGGCAGTAATGCTCTGGACCCATCTACTGAGACACTGAGAAGGTCTTACACTGCACTGGAATGCAGTTTGGAGATAGGTATGTCACCCAACCAGGAAGGGTACTTAACAGCAGTGCAACTAACATGAAGGAGAACATGTGAAGGAGATATGAGGGACTGAGAGAAACAGCGTCAAGTTTGAGTTATATTAGTAAGAGCTTTGAATCATTCTATGCCAAACTGCCAGTTCCTGAAGCTTTCTTTAAGGAGTCAGCAACTCTAGTATTCATTGGGGCTATATTTTGTTTGATCCGTTTTATCAAAAAGAGCTAAAAAGTAACACAGATGATTTAAAGAAAAAGCCCATCGGTCCCTTTAAAAAATTACTAATATACCTGTATAGTCTATATTTTTTTCCTCAATAAATTTACCAGGATTTCTGTTTGTTCATTTTTTAAATTTTTTTTTAGCTTCATAAAAACCATCAGCTTTTGGTCCTCTGGTGTTTATTTTCAATTTCAATTCCTAGCTTTATGATTCCTTTTCTCAGTTCTTTTGATTACAGTTGTGTGTGTGTGTGTTTAATTCTTATGTTGAAACCATTAACATTTAGTTCTTTTTTATTTTTTAAAACTGTATGTTGAAGAGTGTAGAGAAATTGATTTCTTTTGCTATTGAAAGGGGGTCTCATTGTAACTCAAGCTGGCCCCAAATTTGCTGTGTCACTAAAGTTGACCTTGAACTTATGATCCTCCTTTCTCTGCTTCCTGAGGGCTGGCATTACAGGAATAAAGCACCAGTTTCATATGTCACGAGTGATTAAAGCCATGGGCTTTGGGCATACTAGGCAAACCCCTACCTGTTGCGCTATCTCCAGCTCCTTGTCCGACTTTAGCATGATCTGATAAGCTTTAATATTTAATATTTTTATAGTTTTTGTGTCTTCCAATTCCCATTTTGATTTATTCCTTCTTCCTCAGATTCTTTGCAATTTCATTTAGAAATTTCCAAATGTGAATGTGCGGAGTTATCTGTTTTGTTAATATTCTCCATTTCAGTGAGCCATTGATAGGCAAAGTGGTATTATGACAATTTTTGGGGCAATGCTGAGGGTTGTATAAGGCCAGACATTTAAAGTTTTTCTGTGTTTGCTGAGTTGTGCTCAGGATTCTTATACAGTCTGTACCTGTATCTATAGGATCTTCATCTTGGATTCAGCCAATTGTAAATAGAAATATCTTTTGAAAGTCTTACCCACTGAGCACATTAACTTTCCCCTTCGTCATTATTTCTCAGATGAGACCATGTGACACTTATTTATGGCATCAAAAGAAATCCAGAGATGATTTAAAGTGTGGGAACAGGTGTGTAGATGATACACAATTTGCTACCTTGTTTTATGTAAAACCAGTTTCCAAGGAGTTGGGGATCCTTGGGGTGGTCTCAGGACAGATTTTCCCCACAGATAACAAGGGACAACTGATTGCGGTCCCATTAGGTCACAAACTGATTGTTGCTTTGCTTAAATCTGTAAGGTTCTCATAGCCAATGTGGTTAAGGAATTGTGCTTTAAAAAAAATATATCCTAATGTTCTTAACATGTTTTGCCTATATAGTTAAATGATTATATGCCCTAAGTTATTGAATTTTAAGGCAAATTGTTTCTTTGTCATTGTATGTTTTTGTGTCTGTGGCATTGATACAGTTGTAGTAGCTTTCTTCGGGTTGGTGTGTTTTCACTATGTCTTTTCTAATTCTTTGTCTATGAATTTTTCTCATGGTATAACATTTATTTATAGGTCAACAGTGCATATTTTAAAACAAGCTTTAAATTGTACTAGTTGGACAAACACAGAAAGATAAAAAGTATATTATTAAAGAAGCTGATGGAACAGGGCTTCAAGCATAAATTAGATAAGACGCTCGGTGGGTCCAGGGGAAGAAATAAATGAAGGACTAAAAGAACCTAGACAGGGCAAATATAAAACCAGTATTATAAACAGAGATTTGAACCTAATGGTACAGGTAGATTTATTAACTATAAGTAGAATTCACAGCTCAGCCAGAAGACAGATTGCCAGTCTTCATCATAAAACCCAGCTATATCCTGTGTCTTTTGTTTACCAAGTGCATCTCTCAAGAGAGCTCCATTTGGACCGTCTGACTTGAGTCTACAAATCCTTGCTTATCTGTTCTGGAATACCATGCTGTCTTCGAGGAGTATGGGTGATAGCAGACATGGCCATATAAGGAGTACTCCTGTATTATTTGTAGTCCTCTGAGATGTTCTGTGTGGTTCTCAGATGAGATTTCATATGATAAATCCTAAAAGGGCAAGAACAAAGTTTGTTCTCCTGACAAACTGAACATTTTCTCTCAGCGTAGTTATAAAAAAAGAATTTTCCTTTCCTGACTTTTATGCAACAAGCTTAAGGGTAAAATATGTGGTTATTTTTAGTTCTTATACTTAGCTTTTAATAGCTCTACTTCATCCTCCCAGTTGGCCAACATAGTTAGACAGAATATTTGGCCAGTTTGGAGATTAGGGAAACAGGCTTGTAAGGAGACAAATGTGTGGAGACAGACACAGAAAAGAATACTGACACACTAGGGCAGCTGCAGTGGAGGAGGGATTGACAAAGCGCTCTGGGGACCTAAGCAGGAGGATTAATTACACCTGTGGTGGGAGAGCTGACAAGGATACCCCAAAGAGGTGACATCTCAAACAGAGCTTCAAGCACAAATTAGATTTCTTCAGAGACAGGAGGGAAAAAGATTTAAAATGATGCTGTCCAAGAGAAATGTAATGTGAGCCATGGAGGAAATCTCAGATGCCCATACATTAATACAGTAAAAAAAAGAAATAGATAAAATTAACTTTTTTTGATAAAATTAATTTAATAATAGATTTTTTTTAATTCCACATATCCATTACAATACCTTTTGGGCATGCAGTCTTTAAAAAGAAAACATTGTTGGTGAAATATTTGTCACCAACTTTTAATATTAATATTTGAAATCTCATATCTATTTTACATTCATGCGAGGTCTCACCTTGAACTGACATGTTTCAAGGTTTCAAAAGACGCACACACATATGGCTGACAGATAGCATATCAGCTAGCAAAGGATTAGAAAAATTCCAAAGGTAAACAAAACAGAAGATCTGGGAAACAATCTATCGTGTGTGTCGTGGTTTGGAGCCGACAGGCCTCCCATGGGCTCACTCCTCAGCAGCAGGCATTATTTGGGAAGATGTGCAGCCATTTGGAGGTGGGAATCTGGGTGGCAAAAGGTCATTAGAGGCCTGTCCTCACTGCTCCCTGCTCCCTGTGGGGTGAGGAGCCCCTGCCACATGCTCCTTCCATCAGGGCTCCTTGTATGTGTTCCCTACAATAGACTAAGATGATCCTCCGAAACCTTGATCTAAAATACATCCTTCTTCCCCTCAGTTGTACTGTGAGCAACACAAAGTGATAAATTGTGTGTGTGTGTGTGTGTGTGTGTGTGTGTGTGTGTGTGTGTGTGTGATTAGAAAGGTTTTGTCTTTGACAGATATTACTATTTAGTCTTGGCTGGCCTGGGATTAAAGACCTATGCCACCAAGCTGGGCTAGAGAAAGATGTTTTGACTTTATCAGTTTAGAACTATGGAAGGTTTCCACTACAGAAAAGACATGCTCATGTGTGTGTTGGAAAACTAGTTCTGGAGCGGTGTGAAAAATAGATTTAAGAAGAGCCAGAGAGTTAGAAACCAAGTAAGGAATATCAAGTGATAATTCCTTTAAGAGACAAAGACAACATGGGTCTGTCCTTCTGAGAGGAAGAAGGGATTTGACGTGGAAGGCTTTAGAGATGGCTCAGTGGGTAAGAGTGCTTGTTGTGTAAGCTTAGGACCCGAAATCAATTGCCAGCACTCACATAGAAACTGGGCATAAATGCACATGCCTGTAATCCAAGCCCTGAGAGGGTCAGAGGCAGGTGGATCCCAGGGACTTGCTAGCCAAGCGGCCTTGCCACAATAGTGTGCTTCTACTTCATTGAGAGACTGTGATGATCAATTTATCTATCAACCTGATAAAACCTGGGGAGAGTCTTAAAGAGGGATTGTCTACATTGCCTTGGCGAGGTTACATGTTTTTTGTGGGACTGTCTGTGTGAAAAGATCCAGCCCGTGTGGGCAGTGCCATTTCCTAGGTAGGGGTTTCTAAATTGTGTGTGTGTGGAAAAAGGGAAGCTGAGCACAAGCAAGAATGCATGGTGCTCATTTCGTTCTGTTCTTGACTGTGGATGGGATGTAACCAGCGGTTTCAAGCTCTTGCCATTGTGATTTCCCTGCTGTCATGGTCTAAAACTTGATCATGAGACAGAGTCATGCAGATCTCTGAGTTCAAGGCCTGCCTGGTCTACAGAGTAAGTTCTAGGACAGTCATGCTTAGGCAGTAAGGAAACCATCAAAACCAGAATGCTGGTGAAGATGTAATTGAACTAGGGTACCATGTTCCAGCCCCATCAAGCAGCAGAATTTGGCAGGTTCAGCCGTGCGGTTCTGGCTTTAGAGTCAAAGATAGAAGAAAGGGGTTAGGGAATCTTCCTCCACAACTCAGGAAAGCTGCTGAGGCCAGACATGTGGCAGGGGTGTCTCTGCATGGAGGCCCAAAGAGGCCACTGTGGGAAGCTGTTCACGAAGGTGAAGCCTGGATTGCCCTGGAGAACCCCAAGAAGTTAGAGATGGCAGAGCTGTGGGATACCTGCCAAGGAGAACTGCTAACAGGGAGTGGAACCAGCCCGTGAGAAAGAAGTGTGCTTCAGTCAAGGAAGCTGAAGGGAACTGGAGATCTGGAGAGCATTTTGGCATCAAACATGGAGGTGCAGAGTTGGAGACTGCCCAACTGGTTTTCAGTCTTGCGTTGGTCCAGTATTTCCTCACTATGCTCCCTTCCCTACATTTTGGAATGGTGACGTACGTCCTATGCCATGATATGTTGGGAGTATATGATCTGCTTTCTGATTTTGATTTTAGAGAGGATTACACTTAAAGGATTGCAAGAATCTCAAAAAGAGACTTTGAACTTTGGACTTTAGACTTTGAAACATGG